ATATATATATTAAACACATATTTTTTACGTTAGTTTGTGTACGAGCTTGTATACAGTTTTAATGTTCACAACAGTGTGCACTGAGTGCATTTAATTGAATTCACTACTCTACATTTATACATATAGCTGACACATGTAAAGTAGCAAAGATCCATGTATTACATTATTACATCTAAAGCATGAATGACATTTTTTAAAATGCATGTATTTCATTATCTGTTAATTATACAATTCGCTGAACAATTATATTACATTTCTGTATAATACTGATATCTTATAAATTAATATCTTATAAACTGCAAATTAAATTTTGCGTACGCATTTTGTTTTCATAAACAAATTTATAGCACACATTTCATATTTTTACAGAAACTAGTAACTTAAATTTTGTGAGACATGAAGATTACATAACTATATTCGCACATTAACTAAATTATAATTTATTTGTAATTGTCAATATCTTAAATATGTAATTATATGCATAGTAAGAGTGCGAAACTTTAGAGCTCCCATAATATGAGTTTGGTGGAAGCGAATAAAAAATAACGGATAACAAATATTGCTTTTTTTCTTACATGTACAGGAAGAGTAAGAAACAATTGTTCATTGTTCAGTTAAAAATTAAAAAAAGTTAAATACAAATATAAATGCATTGAAGATTTCGTGATTTAATTTATTATTATATTTGCATTAAACACATATTTTTTACGTTAGTTTATATACAACGGCTTTAATGTTCACAACAGTATGCACTGAATACATTTAAAGTTAAAGTAATAAAATTGACAAGATGTTACCTTTTTGTAATAATTTATTTAAGAATGGATATACAGGGTGTTCCAAAATTAATGATAAATAAATTTGTTTCAATAAGTAATAACTAAATGTAAATTTACTAAATATGAGCATATATTTATTTGGTACAAGAACCATTAATTTCATTATAAATATCACATTTTGTTTATTGAGTAAATATTTACTGTTAAATTAATGTTATTAAAATTTAGTAAATTTTTTTTCAGTACAACCTTGTTATTATAATTTTTACATTCTTCTCATGAATACTATCATAGCCTCGGCATTTTTGTATTAATCTTAAGTGAAATAAGATCTTATTTATAAGATGAAAATTAAACTCATCTGTTTATAGCTATCTGTTTCTTTCTTCACTCTCTTCATTCTCGTTTTCTGACAATTTATGAAGCTGTGATGTATATCGAAACATCGGATCATAACGGACGATAAATCAAGAGGCTGCGTTTTCATTGCGAGTATTGAAAATCTGTAAGTTCATACACATTGTATATACTACAGATTTTTAGTACTCGCAATGAATAACGCAGCTTAAAAGTTGAGCCGCTTTCGCCAAACTCTTAATACAGGATCTGTACGAGACCACTTCTGTAAATGTATTATTAAAAGGTAACAACGATAGTAAATAATATATTTGTAATACTTGTGACATACGAAACATTTATATTATTAAATTAGAAATGATAGAAATTTATCGACTTATCGATTTATGTTTAATGTCATTATTTCTCGCAGAGAAATGTTTTTAAAATACCATATCTATTTAACACACCATTTATTTTTAACATTAAAACAAAAAGATATATTAAACCAAAGGAATATAATCTTTGTGTACGTAAAATACTACAATAAGTTCTGTAATTGAACTGTACATTGCGTCGTTCGTGATATAGATGTTATAATTTTATAACATTTATTAAATCATACTTATTGAAATAGTATATTATGTAATATAAGGTATAGTTATATATTTTATTAATTAACTGACGTCAACTTCACATTAGTGTGAATGTATGTTATATAATAGTATAAGTATTACTTGGAAAATTATATTACAATCTGCAATTGTCAGCGATAATAAAATTTGTTTGCAAATTTGTATATATTGCATTTATTTTTAAATAGAATACGAGTTGTGGAAAAGTAAATTTAATAAACAATTTCGTACTTTTATTTTTATCTCAAAGTTAGAAATAATTTTGTCATTTTATTAAAATATTTAAAAAATTATACATTTGTTTAATTTGTTGCAAAATTGTTACAAAAAATGTATGTCCCTCTCTCATCCCTTTTACATACCTAATTTATATTTCTGAAAATTAAAATTTTTATTTTAAAATTAATGTGAGATTGAATTATAAATATTCTTAATTATAAATATTCTTAAAACGAAAAATGACAATCTTTTTTATCTTATAGAGATTAGTGAA